AATGTAGCAACCGTCCAGGAGGAAAAGATTACACAAGATTTTGTAAAGGTTTTTGTTTACTAGGCAGAAGAAATTTAAAGGTAGGGTACATAGATTTGCCCAGATGGGAATCTAGCTAGGACACATAAACAACTTAACCTCATGATGAATGCAGTTTCAGTAAGAATGAAGGGACTCCATTATAGATACCAGTTAAACAGTCAGCAGTGCAGTCCAGCAATATTTTGAGAACACTGGTTGAACACCAGATCAAAAGGAGCCCAGCACATCGTCTGAGTCAAAGACACCAGTTTCTCAGAAGCTACTGGTTTCCTTCAGCATCTCAAACCAACCAGGTTAGATCCTAATTAGCTCATGAATTTGACAAAATCAGACATCAAGACGTCGTGGCTGTAAAACCAGCAAGTCTATTAATGAGAACTTAAAACAGGAAAATACATTTCACTCTACAGAAGCGGATACTCCCGCTGTCGTGGAACAATCCTGTTAAAACCAATACGGATGCCCAAGCACAGCTGAAAGCAGGGGTTGGGGAAAGAAGGTCAACAAAGAGATACCACTGAGAGTTTAGATATGAAAGTGATGGGGACTTCTCAGACAAGCTTTTAAAGCCACCCCTGTCTGCTCTTTTTCCTGAAATACCTCATCCACCAACTTAACTTTTACCTCACTTGGGACATCTCTCTACTCCCTCTTGGCACTCTTGGCAAAACGGACAAGTTCTGGGGCTACAACACGATTCAGTAGAGAATCTGGAAGCGAGGAGTGGAAAGGCAATAGGCAGCTTTCACAGTCACTTCTTCCTCCTCCTTGAGGCAGAACTCGGATGACAGGAAGAAAGTGGCAATGTGATTTTAAAAACACTTTTGCTTTCTCCGCCAGCTGGGATCATGCAGGAACCAGCCAGCTCCCAGTGTGGTAATTTATTCTCTAAATCAAGACTCCCTCTCCCCTCTCATTTCTATCCCTGCTGCTTTGGCGGATTATTTTAAACCCGCTCTGATTTGTCACGCAACCCCACAAACAGCTGTACTGATGCAACTGATGCAAAAGGAAGCCTAATGCAAAAGGATTAGATAAATATGAGGACTACTGTGCGAATTAAAAAAAAAATAATAAAAAAAATCCACTGTTTCTATCACTAGTAGGAGCCAGTAATTCCACAAAGACTTCCCCTTGCCCCAAAGGTAGGCAAGGCTCTAGTGGCTTTCCGTATTTTACCACTCTATTGATTTTTCCTGCCAAAAAGCCTACTACAGTAAGATAGCCTGGAAATGCTTTTCAGCAAGAAAAGTTAGCGGTGGTGAAATCGGGCCAAGCCAGTGGAACTTTGCTTCCAAAACAAAAAAATGTTACAATGCACAAAGCCAACGAGGGAAAGAAGCTCTCGCAATAAAAGCATCGTTAGAGCTAAGTCACTGTCCGACAGGTCCCCGAGACCCGGCAGGACACAGTGGGAACACATTTCTGTTATCACAGACAGGCAGCAAAACAACTGTCCTTGTTTTTTCCTGGTTTCACATGTCATCTGCAACTTCCCTTTCAGTTTCAGTATTTATTTTGAGTTGTTTTTGCTGCCATTTCTTGTTTCTCTTGCATACATGTGACTTCCTTCCATTTCACCACAAATTTCCACCAAATAAAACCATATGCACTGCCATAGCAACATTTTAATACAAACAGAGTAATCTTTGTTCACTGAAGTACACAGGTTTTGGTTTTGTTTTTTTTTTTTCTTCTTATTAAGAGAACCTGCATCTGCATACAGTTTAACTGAGTGTCATAGCAACGACATAAACACAAATTCAAGATATATTTTCCTTTGGAGGGAGGAAGAATAAATGTTTTCAGGAAAAGAGCGGGGGACTTGGGAAAGCAGAATGAAATGTTTGTGACCAAATACGGCCTGAAGTTACATCATCACAGCTGTATATTTACTCTCCGAATGCCTGCTCTTGCAAGGTGTTATACATTCTCAGTTCCTACAGATGTCAATAGAGAACAGCTGTATCTGGCAGGGCAAGGTCTGAATCACAGCTATGCTTATACACAACACGGAGGCTGGCCTTCCTGTCGGCACTACAGTGAACTTAGAAATTTATGTACTTTTTTAGACTAGAGTGCGCATTCTGCACGACAGTTTTACTCCTAATGCAAAGTAAAACTGCACTGTTCAACTGGAGTAACAAAAATTGGTCCGGCGTGTCTGCGAGACCTAGCGCCAACCACACATTTTTGTGGCAGGACCCTCTTTTCCTCTACGGATCAACAATTCCTAATGCAGAGGTAAATACAGTAAAACCTAGAGTTCAAATGTGTTCATTCAAAACTTAGCTGTTACCCTGACAGGGTGTATAACGTCGTTTACCTGTGACAACTCAATAACTTATGCCTCGTACCCCCAAAAAGTTATACAAAAAAGGAAAAGAACCAAGTTCTCTCATACGGCTGACTCAATCCCACCTCTCAGCTATTGCTACGCGCTTAGCTATGCTCTATTTTTGTCCTTTATGGCTTGTGAAAGGGACGGCTTCATTAAGCTTTTAATTTCTTTAAGTTGCATGTTCATTCAGGACAAGAGCCTTTACTCTTTGCTTTGTAAGCTGATGGTCCTTCAGCTCAAGCACGCTGTGAGGGTTCAGGGTTTGAAACCTGAAAAGTCTGAACATTAAAAGAAATGCCGTACAACGCTACACACAAATAGCTTGTTCCTTCAGTGACAAGTAGTTTATAGAGGAAAATAAATGAGTAAGCGTAGTAAGGATAAAATCAAGCACTCAACGCAAGCTGGTGTGGAATGATGAAGATTAAAACAGCATCATGTAGTTTTCATTCACAGACACCATCTGCCGTGAATCAAGGCAGAGTCCTGTAGGGATCCTCGTATAATATGATTACTATAGTATGTTTTCAAAATGGACAGAACTGAAGTCTTCCAGGCTGCCTCAGCTCCACGTCTTTAATTTCAAGTGCTTGACCAGAAATTTAAAAATACAGCTTTTAAAGATGCATTTTCTCTCTTCAGTTTATTACAAGATGCTCATTCCGGGTTAAGTCACTCAGAAAGGAATTAAAAACTCCCCCTAACTGCCTATGAAAGTGTTAAAAACCATCTGCCTAGCCGAAGAGTGCATAAGTTTTGATTAAATCAGTAACCTTATTATTATGAAGAATTACCACTGCTGCAGGACACGCGCTGGTCACCTGCCATCAGTAAGGCTGTGCTTTTAGCCAGAGACCATCATTTTGATTCATTTTTATAAACAAAAATTGAAAAAGTTTAGCAAAACTGAATAAAAATATTTGAATTCCATCTTGGCTTGCATGTGATAAATCACCGCTGTTCAAACTAGTGTAACCGTTATCAAAACCAAATAAAAATAAGTAAATAGTAACCCGGGAATGAATGGCAAATGCTACCAAGGCCTTTTACTCTCAATTTGATTGAACTCTGGAAGATGATTCCCAGCTTTGTTTGGGAAATTTCCGTTCTAGTAACCACCACAGGAACGCTCCTTAATAATTTTTTAAAACCTTCTTTAAGGTAGGAGAAGATTTAAATCTGCAGGACAGATTTAACAGCATCTTCATTTAAAAACAAATTACGGTTGCGTTTGACTCACAAGGAAGCTTAAACTAGATTTATATAAGAAAAAAACCGCAGGCAAACCCTTTCATACCTTTAATGAAAACCTCCAAGAGCGTAGGAAAGTAATGCAAATTACAAATCTGCGTTCCTCAGCCAAAGACTAATCACACACACACACGCAGATCGACACTAATATTTGCAGCACTCTGATTTCCACTGTGTGCTATGAATCTTAACAGAAATGCCACGCTTTTACTCCAGATGAAACATTTTCTGGCAAATGAACTGTGGCAGTTTTGCTGTTCTGCTCTTTTATCGGTGTTATTATGAATGGGTTCAAGACTGGTTTAAAGTAATTTGTGGCTACCAAGTCAGCGTGCAGTAATCACTGATTAGGAAAAGCTTATTCACTTTCACTGAACTGAAAAAATATGAAAGCAGCACCTATAGCTAGGAATCCTGGCCCTTTAATAAGGGTTAAAAAACCCAAACATTGAAACAAGAGGTGGGCAGAGGACCAACAATGACTAAAAAAGAAAACAGAGCACAGGTGGCTACTGCCAGGCAAGAAGAAAAACTTCCCTGTTTTACCAGGGGCTGCAAAACACACAAGGGAAAGGACACGTGATACCGCTGTGGGAAAAAATAGTATTTGACTACAAAGGTCCGATGCTCTTTCCAAACTGCAGTAGCTACATGGCACGGTGAACCATTTTTTTAGTGACAATTTGTTTGCAAAGGTGTGGGAAAAAAAAAAATCCTTCTAAAACTTTGAACATCTCAAAAATCCTCTCCACGCAGCATGACTGGTAAGGAACCGACAGCCTGGTGCCCTGAAGACTGAGAGCCCTAGACTGAGAGCCTGGAAGCCCGAGCCCTCTCCCATATTGCTGTCACAGCCTCCTGTTACCTCAACAAGTTCCTTCACTGCTTTCTGTTGTCTTTCTACCCATGGCAGCACTGGCAGCAAGAACACTTAGGACTGAAAACTCACCTTCATGGCAGTTTAGTGCGCACACCACGCCACCAACTTTTGTCACAAAGGTGCTAGTCTCAAGCAGGAGACAGAGTGGGGTAACAACGATGGCAGCAACAACCTCGCAGAGCTGTTTACAAAGTGATCATGTCCGTAAGACTTCACAAATGCTGACTTAGCTAGACCCTTGCAAACTAACCCCAAACACCTGCGCTGAATCCTGAGAACTCCCTGGTGCAAGTGTGCAGAGGGGCCCACCTGTCTCACACCGCCCGTAGCACACGCTGTTCTCGTCCTCCAACAAACCCCACTGACATGGGGCACTTAGACACAGTTGTAAGTGGTCTGGGATCTAGAAAACTTCTCAGAAGTTAACAACAGATTTCTATCGTCAGCAGATGATAAAGTACAGGACTTTTTTTTTTTTTAAGGTTTATTTGTTTTTAAGTAGGTAAATTTAGTTGATATTCCAGCAAATATTTACAATACCTGGCTTCAGGAGGTAAACTAGTAATATGAGATGCATAACATAAGCATTGTTTAGAAGTCCAATATATTAGCCCTAGTGACACTCTATGTATCCGTTTCTATGGATTTTAAAACCCATGCTAATTTAGAAGATCAGGGTAGAAGATTAAACATATGGCAACATGCCACCCTGAAAACATGGTCTGACCTGTCTTTGACACATTAAACAAGATGCAACCAAGTAAAAAAAAAAAAAAAATTATTGCACCAGGCACCCAAAATGTCACCACAGAAGATTAAGTCAAAAGTGAAGTAAGATCATTTGCAGCAGCTCAGCATGACAAAGAAATACCCTAAAACAAAATTAATCTAATGAAACACCAGTGTATTTTTCAGTAAGTTTAAGCATTAAGACTCAAATCCGCATATAAATACAAATATGTGATCAGATATTTAAACTCGGAAATCAGACACCGAGCTGTTAGGGTAAAAGGAAAAAAATATACTGTTGAAACTAACTTGGAAACTTTAAATTTGGGTTACTCTGATTTATTAAAGATACATGGACAAGAGGGTGCAGTTAAATAAGAATATCATTTTTTTCCTAAAACCAGCAATTCCCCATCTCTTTATTTACATCCCTAAATATGCATTCCTAAATCCAAAAATAGGCAGGCAGTTTGGAAGTGCTTTCTTTAGTGAAGGAAGCCAAACCAAACCTGAGAACTCAGTTGCATAAAAAAAGATTTAATAAAATAAAATTAAAAAAAAAAAAGGTTCATTCCACCCTCTTCTCTCAAAGAACCGTCATGAACTGTCCCGAATTTCCCCTTCTTCCATAGATGAAAGGGATGAACTTTCACTGTCCGAGTTCTCTGCAGGTTCACGGGCATCTGAGGGTGTAGGACACAAACAAAAAACAAACAAGCAATTAGTTTCAGCAATGTTGTTTGCTCATCAAACAGAAGCAGTTTCGTATCTTCTTTTCCTTTTAATCACACTTTCCTTGAGGACAGCTATTTCATAAGACATAACCAGTCTCATAACATGGGATAAAGCCCTGGGTAGGACCTTGTTGATGAAGGAGAAAGCAAGACAATGCTGAGAATTTCTTTCAGTTTTTAAATCTTGGTCTTTCAGTCAAGTAGGTAAGCAGAGTATTTATCCCCCACAAAACTCTTCCTCTTCATCCACTGCGAATTTCAAATTGTTCTCTTGGCTTGTCTGTTTTAAATGTTGTTTTCTGGGTTGCTACATATCTATCACAACTGTAATGAATTACAAATCATTTACACTTTTATTAGCATTTCAGTTAAGATGGGGAACTACTGAGAAATTCTAAATGGAAAATTAAGACGATGCACCTATGTACTCCTTCCACGTGTTCCAGCACCCCAAGGATGGTGTTAAGTTGCATGAATCCATGAGCTAAGGCTAATGAGGTTAAAGCTGCACAATAACTTGTGCTTTAGGACACAGCTGTTGTGGTCTGCTGAGACTGTATCGTGAAGCACTCATTTCCCAAACTAGTCTTCAGCCTCACACCCTGAGACTCCTTCTTTAACAAGCACTGACCCCGGTCACCTCGTGGTGAGGTCACCAAATGCCACTGGTCGGTGGCACTCAAGCAGGACAAAAATAAACTACAGCAAAGTAGGCCCATGAATCACACTCTGCTCTCATTGTTATTTTCAGTATTTGATCCGACTATGAATTTAAAGAAGTTTTTGAGCATTTAGTGTCAGACGCTTCATTAAGGAAACGTTACCGAAAGGGAGCTGATGCAGTACAGTTACTGTCTTGTCACGACGAATTCTACAGCTGGCAAACACGGATAATACATAGGACACAGTGTGCACCTGTACAGTTTCAATGGAATTTGTTCAAGAAAATAGAAGCATTTCACCCAGAAACATCGGAGGTCACATTTTGTCTACATTAAATCTAGTGTATAATCAATTAACATTTATATGCCAGATATGTACTGAGTAATGCACAAAGTAAGGATTGTTTTTGCCCCTAAGTCCTGTGAAAGCTTCTATAATCCCCTACTATCTTCAGCCATGACTGACCTTGTATGCTGAAATCAGAGCACCTGTAGTTTTTGCTATAAGCAAGTCAAGCATCAAAACATCACATAAAAGAATGTGGCAATCTTCTGACTCACAGTGAAGCTCAACAGACAAATTTTAGCTTTAGTTTAGTCTGTTACAGTAAGTTTTATTTAACAGAAATTACAGATTGTCTTCACTCAAAAAGAACGTATTTTTATGGTGTTGATAGCATTGCTTATAAATTAAGATTGCCCAGTCCTTCCCACCGTAAAACTGCCTGCAGTGTACTTATAATGTAAAATATAAACTCTGGGTTTAAATTTTTCAGTGCCAGTTTCCTTCTTCAATCCTTATTATCTGTATTTTTTTTGAAAGCTTCAGCCAAAATACTTCAGCCATTTCTGAGAACAAGGATAGGAGAAATTGGCTTTGTCCTCATTAAATTCTAGTCTCTCTTTGACAGTGTCCAGCTCTAGCTCTCTCCCAGTCTTTGGGGGTAGTAACTTGAATCGCAGGGGACAATGGTGATTTTTCCCCAGCACGTGCCTGTTGCTGTGGCTATGAAAACTTGCCTCTGTTCTTCCTGGGGAAGGGGGCAGATCTGAGATTGCTCAGTAAAGAAACATCATTTGAGCAGTTACATTTCCACAAGACACTGTTTCTTGTTCTAGCCTGGGTCCTTTGAAAACAGACCCTGGAGGGCTACCGTAGCAGAAGCCCCTGCGCTCCGGCAGACACCCTGCCAGACATCCACTCATCAATGCAGCAGCTGTTTGCCTGGAATGCCAAGGGGAGGTCAGCTGGACGGGCGCTCCGAGACAAGCGTCCCTCCGGGTGCGCATGGAGAAGGAAGGCAGAAAGGAAAGGCAGAGATAGGATAAGCAAGAGCAGGATGGATGGCTTAGGAGGAGTGTGCAACTGATACAAAAAGCCATTAAGTGTCGAAGACAGTGGACTGCAAGTAACACACGAGATGCTGCAGCAGAAAGGTCACCTCTTGGGAGATGGGAGTGGGCTAAAGCACCTCTCTGATTACAACAGACTTCTCCTTGGAGAGCCTGAAGGTGAACCCAAGATTTCCGCTCTTAGCAATTATCTGTGAATACAACTGGTAAAGCAAACTAAATACTGTTTTTTCTCCTTTATTCTTTAAAGTTGACACACAAAAGAAGAGTACAATGATTGCGCCACACCAACAAAAGTGGTATTTTGTCTTCAAGTGCAATAATAGCAACAAAAAAGCCCTCCTATTTTTATATTCATGTTCTGAACACGTTTTTCCTGAAAGAATCTGGAATTACTGTGGCAGGCTTCCACTCTTAACAGAAAAAGCTCCAAGAACACAGGGTCCAAACCAAACTCAAGGCTGAAGTTAAGTGTTAATATCCAAACCAAACTCAAGGCTGAAGTTAAGTGAAGTTAACTAAGAAGATGTACAAAAATAAATGATAAAAGTTGTGAAAATCGTGTTATTTTTGCCATTAGCTATACTCTTTTGCTATGTGATAACCAAGACACTTCAACAGGGAGCTATGCACTTGATTTTTATGGAATCTATAGAAACTGTGTAAAAAAAAAAAAAAGATTAAGAAAATTAATGGTTCCCAAAACCTGAAATAGCTGCCAGTGTTCCCTGCATACCAGCTTCAGGGATGACTGCTAACTGAATGATCCCTGCAGCAGAGGAAGGTCACCGTCTTGAAGACACACACTTGCACTGCCCTGTGACAGAGCTATCAGCGCTTCCCCAGCTATTACTGGCTCGCTCTTCTACTCTGCCTTTTACAGAATGAGCTAGCTGCTGCGGCAGCACGACCTCAAAATATAGTTGTTCAATCAACACTTATTTGAACCTATACCCTTAAAAGGAAAGCCTTCCTACTAGCTCAGGAGACACTGACAACCACCATATTCAGATTAAGTTTATGAGTCAATCAGTTGTAATTCCCTCCTGACATCTAAATCATAGGCGTAGGGCTGACTACTGAAAAGCCAGGGACCTAGATCAAGAAATAATAGATAAACTGAAAGTACCTAGTTTCCTTGTACTCCAGTATATGTATGTGCACTCCTGGGGTGAGTATCAGTGGACCTAGTTGCTCAGACAAGACTCCCACCTCATCCCCTGGCGTGGTGTCTCGCTCACAGAAGCTCCTGCAGTACATCGCGCAAGAAATGTTGGTGTTTCTTTGAGAGCAGGTTGCTCCGATGGATCACTTGGTGTCATCTAGCCAGAACAGCCAAGATCCATGGAAGTTTGGTATCACTGGTACAATATGCTCAGTCTCGTCTTTATTCAGTCAAATTATATACATATAGAGCCATGACTGAGTTGCCGCAGGGAAATAGCCATTGCAAACATATTTCAACGCTTTTCCTCAGAAATCTGTAAAAATTACAGACTGGCTCATCACTGAATAGTATGGAACTTGATATCTAAGGTGACTAGCTGGGGGACTAAGAGACAAGGTAACTGATTCCCTATATCAGCAGCTGCAGAAAGCGAAGCTGGGACACGAAGCCTTTATACCGGGGAGAAAGGTGGAAATTAACTTCAAAACTAAAATACAAATTCCTGCTAGACCTAGACTGTCCTCTAAGTTAACTCCAAGATGAAAGTTTTCCCTCAACTAAGTACTTTTCAAAAGATAACACTGTGCTTTTAACCCACCCGAAAAGCCACTTTGCCATTACGATTTCTAATAACTATCCTGTAATTCAGAATTATTTGTCCAATGTTAGGAGTTATGCTAGGAAATAATGGAGAATTATTCCTTTGTATGATTAGCAGGCTTACTTAAAACTCATCTTCCCCAGACAGCTTTTTAGAAATAACCAACTCTGTCAAACTTTGCTACTTCCAAAATTTAGCAGAAGTCTGAAGAGTTGTTTTACCTTAGTGGCTAAAAATATACAAAAAAAGAATCAAGCACCAGTAAACAAAGTTAGGAAAAACACATGCAATACAGCTTATGGATGTAAGCCATCAGCCAGCAGCTTTAAGACAGAGCATTCCTAACAGCTTTTTTATAGCAATCTTTCAGATTCAGAGGGAAATACAAGACATACTGCACATTCCTGGCATTATTAATAGGTGTGTCCTTAATTATTGTTTATTTAACTAAAAGATCTAAGTATAGCATAACAGGAAATAAATGTATGCTTACCTTGGCCAAGAACCACCATGTCATTCTTCAATGTTTTCAAGACCACAAATAACGTTGGATACTCAATTATTACTTTGCCTTTCAAATTGTCCAGGAGGCTTCTACTGGCATCCAGTTCATTGTACCTTAAAAATAACAGGCAAGTTTATTTTGGATTTTAATGCTGCCAAGGACATAATGTACACTTTCGGGGAAAAAAAAAAAGCTTTCTGGCAATTCACAGGATTTTCAGATGATATCATGTTCAGAAGAACTATCTTATGATTCAAATTACATATCCAGTCTTATTATCCAACTACATAATTGTTTTTAAATCCTCCAAACATCTAAGCATAAGAACAAGAGGAGAATCAAAGTCAAATTTGTCTAAGGGCTGAAATGTTTTATGAGTTCTATCTTTACCAAAATCAGATATGGACATAGGGTTATCAAAATCGATATATTTACCAAAAGCAGATTCTAAATTAAAAATAACACTTAATGTTCTACTTATGGGCTTTTAATACTACAAGTTTCATTTACATGGTTAGTAGCGTACCTTATCACATTTGCTTATGAATTATCAGTGAAGTACTGGGAAGATGAAATAAAAAGCATATCTGGACAACTACTAAAGCAAAGGTCTATTGGAAGCACGTAGAGCTCTGTTTTTGCAGAAGTAAGGGCTCTGATACACAGAACATTGGGGCAATAATTTCTAAAAATTGTACAATATCCCCGTTTATGCCTGAGCAAATCCCTGCTTACAGCACCATCTGCAAGAAACTTCCCATAGAAATCCCCACATATGCGTGTGCTTCAAGAGGCGCATGACTCGGATGCGCAGTCCTTTCCCAGAAAAGGGTTCCTCTTCACCCTGGAGGGTGAAGCCAGGTACATAACAAATGATGCCACAGTAACAAAAAGTAAACCGAGCATCTTCTCCACAATTGTTTCCTAGAACTGTAATATTCTCTTCCAACTCTCTAACTGGAAACCTGGACGTGGGTTTCCTTTCCTTGAGGAAAGGAAGGGATATTTCAAAGCCCTCTGTAAGAGAAACCCTGTTGCTTTCCCTTGCTGTAACTGCGGCAACAGATGCTCTGATATTATTACACTGCAATCTGACTTATGCTATTCTTTCTGTAATCAGCATTATTAAATTACTACTAAGCTATTGTATCACTTAAAGGCAAATGAAGTTCAAAACCAAAATACACTGTGGGCAATAAGTGGAGTATTTCCCATAGCTGCTCTACCTTCTCTGATCATTAACATATTATGCAGTTGGGTTTTCTTTTGCCAAAAACAACACTGGATGGGTGAAGGAAATTACATATTTTATGATATACAGTAATGTGTGATTAAGAACAGTACATCAGAGGAGTCAGCACACAAGAAGAATATTGAAGGTAAAACAGAATTTGAGTTCTTGGGATTTAAGGGCAACTTAGTTTGAGCAAAAGCTATTTCTCTCTCATATTCAACTTCAATCATCATGAAAATACTTGGTTTCATGTTTCTCTCAACCCTAAGTAATTATGACCTCTTCTTACTGAAACCCTCTAAAAGGGATAACAGTATATTACATTTCCTATTGAATGAATGCATTCATAACCTGTGGATTAACACACATGAACAGAAACATATTTATTGCTTTATTTACAGTACTCTAAATGCAAAGTATGGCAATACCTTTCCTTTGGCAAGGTCCTCAACACATTCTTTTCTGGTTAAGCAAACATTTACCACCAAGAGGCTAAAGTAATTCACATGCCACAATACACTTTCCATTATCTCATGTTTTAGACAAAACATCTTTAGCGTCCAGCTTGGCATAAGATAAAACATTTGTACTTAAAACTATTTTATGATAGTAAATTGCTGAAGTGTTAGATCACCGAGTCAGAGCTTTATCTTTTTTGTTTTTAAAGTAAATGTTACTGGTTGACAGCGACAGAGGAAACATCTACATTTTTAGTGCATAATGTGGGCTGTAAACTTCAGGGAGAATATAACAAAGGAGCTTAATGCTTCTCTTTTTTAAACTTTGCTGTTATTGTCTATGCTATCCAAAATACCTCAGTCTACCAAATTCCCTACTTTATACACAAGTGCAAGTTGAGGTTTTCTGCTAATCTACCTGCCAACCTCATCCTTGACTGTGCATGCTTAGAAGATCTCAAAAGAAAACTAAAACTTGCCACTCAATTCCGAAGTCTAATACAGGATGGCTCCTGAGCAAGACTGATTTTTCAGGTTCTCTGTGAAAGACTTTGTCATGATAAAAACCTTCCCAATTTTACCCCAGAACTAGAACAAAGTCATACATCAGAGGGTGAGCAACGCAGACCTATGGGCAAAAGACGACTGCCCTGCAAGGCTTTTCCAGAAGTGTATATACCCACACAATTTCAATTTTTACTTATGAAAAGGCTAGACCTGTTTGGAGAAAAATGAAATTAAATGGCATTTTTACAAGTCTTGTAACTTTCTGCACTGATTATTCACCAGGATGAGCTGAGGATGTAGGGTAACACTGGAATGCAGGTCCTCCCATGTATTTGCAGGAAAGTGTCTCACCACAGGCAGGAGATGGAGCAGGGAGAACCTGGTTATCAGATATGACCAGGTATTCTTTTATCACCATTTTTACCTACTTGTCCTGTATCACTGGGACTGTGTAGCCTCCTTGGTAAGAACCCATAACGAGCTGCAACCTCCTTCAGGCCCTTCCGTCACTGTGCATTTCAAGTGACAACCCAGTAAAATGAATGACAACCAGCTTAAGTCTGTCCTTTCACTCAGACTCTTCCAGGGCCGGTTGCAGGAACCAACTTAACTGAGGCTGTCATCCTAAACAAGCTCCTTCAGCCCTTCATGACAGGATGGATTTGAAGATAAGCCTGGCTCCAAATGAACTGGCCACCCCGACAGAACCATTGCCCTAACACCCTGTCTTCACGTCTTTCTTTTAAACCCTCCCCCTGCTTTCTCTTTTCTCCCACTGCCCAGTTCCTACGAATTGTCTGCGCTACGGCTTCCCGATCCCTGTATTCAGTGGGACTTCTCTTTGCACCCTTATCTCTCAATCTTCTTTCCTCCCTGGTATTTACTTGCCACGTATTTTCTCTCTCCCTTCCATACATTCCCTCAGCCTCCTTGTCCGACACCCAACATCTAATAATACACTTTCCTGATTATTTTCTTGCCCCAAGCAAGGCTTTATGCCCATGTCACGGAGCAAGAAATAGGCCCGGATTTCTTCTTAATAAGACAACTTCATTTATAAGGACCACAAAGAGACAATCTTGGCAGACAACAGCTTTTGATTTTAGCTGGAATGAAAAAACAATAACTGCTTTTTAAAGGACAAAAATTAAATAAAATTTGCCTGCCAGCAGGCAGTTTAAAAGCCTACAAAAATTGTGACAATTGAGAAAATTTAACAAGATTCAGCAATCCCACATCAGTTCCCATATAATCTGCTACCTTCGCTCTACGAGTGGCTTTGCTACCTTTCACAAAACACTGAAATTAACGTGGCTCTGCACTTCTGATAGCATCTATGAGTTTCTGCAAAGGACAGTGTCACTATCTATAGTTATTCCACCACCTTCCAGGAATTCAACAATTCAGTCTCCTAATCTGTCTCCCACAGGCAGGAATGCCGTATTAGGTCACTGCATCACAACAGGCTCCCCTCAAATGGAGCCTGTGGCTATCATCGCAGTGGCGTAACTTGTCTCCATGAATTCAGACAGCACGAAATTCCCTGCTGATCAGGTTTTCCTGAATGTCATCTACAGGAACTTTGATTTTAATAATAGTAAAGAAAAATCTGCAATCTGGAATTAAAGATAAATTGTAACCATGTCATTTCTTTAGTTTAGTCTTCTAGACACTGAAAAGAGAACAAACAAGTTTTAACCATCCAAATAATTGTAAATATTACTAAAATGCATATTTGTATAATGATGTTCATAATTTTCCTGTGAGAGAGATCAACTAAAACCCTTGCGCATATTTTAAACAAAGATGATTTTTCTTCCTAGAACTGAGTGGAAACATCGAGGTATTTACTTGGCATAATTCAGATACAATAAATCATGCCATCTATTTTGGGCCTAGTCCTAAAAATCCACAGTCAAATTTCTGCTAACTTACGGGAAGAACGAAGATTCCCCCCTCCCCAAACAAAGGAGGGTAGCATTTCCTAGGTATCTGCATTTTCCTAGAAGAGAGCAGAGACTGGGTGCAGCATTTAAAGTCTCTCCCAAGCACTCATTCTGAAGTACTGCAGCACAGCAAAGATAATAACTAACAGATGGACTTTCATTCCTAAGTGGTGAATAACCTCTTCGTGTGGTTATGATTTGGTGAACATGGAAGTAGTGAAAGGCACTCTTGAATTAGGTATGAAAGGAAAGTTATATGGCAGAAAGTAAACACAATGTATTGAAATAATGTGCAATTTTTATATTTAGCTTTCTCACTAGAATTCTGACATTCTAAAAATCTGGAACACGGTGAATTTTGTTAGTTAATATGTGTGAAAAAGAATTAGAAAATTCAACGAGCAAAAAAGCAGAGACCTTAGAAACAAAAAAAAAGGAAATGACTTGCCATAACACTTCCCTTGTAACTAATTCTTATCAACAGCTGAACAATACGAAAGACTACTCTGCTTGAACACTCTTAAGGAAGGGGGGCGGGAACCAAGTTCAAGTTAATATTTTAATATGAAAAAAATTATACTACAGTTTACACAAATATTTTAAAACCTGCTAGCTCCTCCTTCCACTCTTGATGGTATGGTTTTTCTCCCGATGTAGGACCTCCATAATTTGCCTTAACAAATGTTCACTAACCTCTCCTCCATACCTTCATAGCTCAACCTATACCAATACAGACCAGATGCCTGGCCCATCCCTTTTCAAGTCAGATCCCCATCTTAAGTAACACTTCCACCACAGATGTCCTTTTTCTGAAAAAAAGCAAAACTAGGACAAGAAACCTTCTCTTAGCAACCATTTGGGCCCACAGGTCCTGCTAGGAACCAACTTGAAAAGCCCAGGAAGAAAAGTTGCCAGCATACCAGGAAAGCATCTCACACATTATCACCATCTCCTAACTATACCTACAT